CCCGCTGTTTGCCGACCCGGGGCTGGCCGGGGTTCACTGGGAGGCACCCAGAGAGACGGAGACAGGTGGGGACTCTCCAGGTGTCAACGCAGCAGAAGAAGCGGCGAGGCGAGTGCCGAACGACACCAGGGCAGCGGCACGGAGGGCAACCCCGCGGGGTGCTCCAGCAGGAGCTCGAGGCGTGCCATTCTCAACAGCCAGGCCGGGTCCCACAGAGCCCTGGTCACCGTTCACTGTAGCCATGATATTATGGAAAATCCTTTGCTGGGATTTTTCCTCTCCTGAGAAGCTGAGGAGCCTCAGGAGAGAAATGTAAACAATTACTATCTGCTGCTGTGGAATGCAACAGGTGCATCTGTGATTGGTGCATGTGGATTGTTTTCCATTGATGACCAATCACAGCCACCTGTGCCAAGGCTGTGAGCAGTCACAGCATTTTGTTATTCTGTTCTGTTCTTGTTGTAGCCTTCTGATCTCTCTGTTCTTTTAGTATAGTCTTAATGTAGCATTTTAATATAATATCTAACATAATAAATCAGCCTTATGAAATGGAGTCAAGCCTCGTGTCTCCACACACGGAGAGGAATCATCAACAGTTCACAGAGCGACCCTCGCAGGCTGTGCGTCGGCAGGCGACAGCTGAGGGCGAAGCAGCCTCCCATGGAGAGTTTGGCGCTCGGCAACGCCAGCCCGGATTGCCAGCGGGTCGTCGTGGCAAGGCCAGGCAGAGATGGTGGAGGCGTGCAGCCAGGCAGGAGCGCCTCGGCAGGCTGTGTCCATCCTGAGGAACAAACTGAGAGAGAAGGGGAACTGTCAAAGAAGGGAGAGGCGACACCAGACGGTCATCAGCAAACTCTCAATTTATTGATAATCATACACTTGGTTAAATACAATACTTAATTAGCTCATGCAGAGTGCAAAACTGTAGCTCATCATTGGTTAATGTGTTATTTGCGTCATTACATCATCTGAAGGTCTCTTCTGCATTTTTGTGATTTTAGAGCTAACTCTCAGTCCCTAATTCTGCAACTTATTGATACAGTCTTACCGAGACTTTCCCTCCTGAAGGACACCCTGTCCTTCAAGATATCATTAGCCTCCTTTCCCATCTAGTTTTATCAGGCCAGTTTGACTGTGTCCTTTCTCATCAAGCCATTCCTGCACAAAACTCTCTACAGGGAACAGCGGCTGGGAGAGCACGCGGGAAAATGCCGGAAGAAACGGTGGTGGAAAAACGCTTCAGCAGCACAGTGAAATCCTCGCGGCCGTTCAGAAGGGCAAGCCAAGAGGTGAGCTTCACCTGCAGGATTTGGAGAAAGTCCGTCAGTCCCTGCGGGGACGTGGGGTTTGTTTGTGTTTTAACAGATGCAAAGTCCAGATGGATTTCAGTGGAGAATGTGAAACTCTGTCAGGAGCAAGAAAAACGTTGAGCATTCGACAAGCAAAGATGTGGACTGCACAGAGATTCCAACCCTTGAGCTTCACCCAAAGAAGATTGTGGGCTTTGGGCTTTTTCACAGATGTGGGAATCAGTGATTTACAGTTTTTGTTAGATGATAGTTTTCTACTTTTAAATGGGGTTGTAATTCTTCTGCTCCTTTTGGCCATGCATTTTCCAGTGCATCCGGCAGGTCTTGAATGAGGCTGCCAGAGAGGTGTTTTTGTGGCAAAGAGAAGGGGGAGATGTTGGAACCCAGGACATCCCTCTGGATGCCCTGGATGGCTCAAAGCCTTGGCAGGGGCTCAGAGACCCTGGCAGGAAGCCAAAGACACCTGGAAATTTGATCTCAACCCATGGAGCAAATTACCAACTTTGTATGAAGAATTGCAGGTCACAAAACTTTAAGTAGCATAGCAGTAGCAATCACAGGGTGAAGGGAACAATTTTGGAGCACTGTACAGGGGGGTTTTGGACCTTGTACAGGGGGGTTTGTTTGGCCACCCAGAACCACTTTTCCTGTATGGGGGCAGAGACAAACAACAGGCAACCCTGAAAATCTAAAACCCCTGTAGGTCTCAGTACAATGCATCTCTCACAGTTCTATTTCCCCAAAGTATCTAATCAAATTTCCAAGGCCATCCTTTGAAACTTGTTCCTGGCTCCATTTCTCTCTCAGCAATGTCTATCCTGTTCCATGGCATTTCTGTAACAGCATTTCTTGTCTCAGGGTTTGCATACAGATGCACACTGTGAGCCTTCTGCCAGGCCCTGAGATCTCTCTGCAAATCCATCTCCCACACTCTGGGTCTGTTCCATGCTGGGAGTGCCACTGTGACCTCTGTCTTATCCCCAAAATATTCCTTCTGTCCCCTGCAGATTAACTGAGTTTCCTCCAAAATATTCTTTGTCCCTAGCATGTTACCTCAGGGTCTTACCCCAAAATTTTCTCTGGCTGTCTACTACTGACCACTTTTGCCTCAAAACTGCCAGCTCCATCTTGGGTCTGCCTCGTTCCTGGTCACCACAGAGACCTGCCGCAGTCACAGCAGAGGAGAGGTGGCACGGAGGGGCACGGAGGGGCCAGGATGCATTCATTCAGGGCTGGTGGGACACGCTGGAGCCCCGACTGTCCACGGACAAACGCGGCAGCAGCCGGCACACAGGGTGGCAGTGGTGCTGGGAGAGCAGCTCCTCAGCAGAGCCCTGCTGGGGAGTGTGAAATCAGCTCCTGAGGGTGCCTCAGGCAAGCACAGCTGCCCTCCTGGGAAACAAAAGACTAGTTAAGTGTTGATGACTCTCCGCGTGTGGAGACACGAGGCTTGACTCCATTTCAGAAGGTTGATTTATTATGTTAGATATTATATTAAAATGCTACATTAAGATTATACTAAAAGAATAGAGAAATCAGAAGGCTACAACAAGAACAGAATAGACTAAAATAACAAAAATCCTGTGACTGCTCACAGCCTTGGCACAGGTGGCTGTGACTGGTCATCAATGGAAAACAATCCACATGCACCAATCACAGATGCACCTGTTGCATTCCACAGCAGCAGATAGTAATTGTTTACATTTCTCTCCTGAGGCTCCTCAGCTTCTCAGGAGAGGAAAAATCCCAGCAAAGGATTTTCCATAATATGGTTACAGTTAAGAGCTAACCCCGTGTGGAACCCCCCTCCTGCAGACACCCCACAGCAGTCCCAGCCCCATCCCCTGGGCTGGAAGGGGATTCCAACACGTGCTGCCCCTCAGTGCCACTCAGGTGTGAGCTGGAAGGGGTTTCCTGTTGTCATCAAATTGCAAAAGTTCCATACTGTTTTGTCTTTATCACACAAGTTCCATGCCTTCTTGGTGTGGTTTCACAGGCAGCTCTTCAGAGCACTGGCTCTTGCCTCCTCACAAAGTAGCTGACTCCAGCTCCTCCTCAGCCAGCCAACCACTATTTTATATTATCTTCCTCTTCTTGGTGACAGCTGTGGCCTGCTAAAGCCAGGCCTGCTCCTCACCTTTGATAACTGGCCCAGCTGCGACTCCTTAGGGCTGAGATTACTTTCTGCACCACCTTTATTTTCTTGTCCTCTACCTCCCCCAGTCTCCAGCGAGTGCTGCCTCTCAGTGCCGGTCAGGTGTGAGCTGGTGGTGCCCAGAATCCCATTTCACTGTGGCACACGGATGCTGCAGCCCGAGCTGCTGCCAGTGAGGCCCAGGGCAAGGAAGCAGGAGGGCCTTTGCTTGGAGCCACGGGTGTTGGGCCCGGCTGTGCACGGGGATGCTCAGGCGCCAGGCACGCACACATTCGGCGCCCAGGCTCCTCTCCCCAGGGGCAGTACCAGGATAAGGGAACAGGAGCAGTGGCTCAGGGACTCAGGAACAGACACAGGAACAGCAGAAGGAGCCACTGGGGTCTCAACAGCTTTTGGGGGAGGCTGCTCCTGTCCCCAGCCCAGGGGATGCCCCCAGGGGCTCCGCATGCAAACGCTCATGTGCTGTCTTAGGGAGATTGCTAATGTGTACCACGGTGACTAGGGTATGTGAAAATCACTTGTTCTTAAAAATTTTAACAGTTTAATGGTAATAAAATGGTTATAACAATAGTAATATAATTAGAGTAATAAAGTTTGAACACCTGAGATTAGGACAGTGTGAGGTAATAAAAACAAAGAGTTACATTACAGACAGTCCAGGTACCTTTTTCTGGGCAACACAAGTCCAAAAAAGGACCCACGTGAACAGAGATTAACCCTTAAAAACAACAGCCTGTTGTATATTCATATACTTCATGCATGATGCATAAATTCCATTGAAATAAAGGATTCTGTCTGTTCATCATCAACTTCTCTTAATCCTAACGGCATTTTCAGGCCTGAGCGAGGCAGGAAGAAGTTAGCTTCTCCTGATAAAAGAGCAATAAATTTTCTTTCTCTGAAAGATTCGGGTCTCCTGCAGCCGCCATCCAGTGGGAGCACCTCATTCCTTTCTAAAAAGACATCATTTCACATACATAGTTCCTATTTCAACTACAAAAAGTTACCTTTTAACTATGAAACTACATCTGGCTCCACAGAGGGTGGGATGCAGATTCCCAGGGGATCAGAGCTGACTGGGGGGGCTGCTGCTGCTCATGACCTGGCCGGCCAGCAGTCAGAGGCTCCCTGCAGCTCCAGACAGAAGGTGGTCATGCAGTTCTTCCAAATCAGAAGCCAGTTGTGGGGATTCATCGCCTATCTGAATTCCAGTAGTTATCCAGATGCCATCCGCTTACGCCTGTCTGCACAGACACAGTACGACGGGACAGAAAAGGCGGAATGACGATAAAAGCACCCAAAGCCAGGGTGCCCGACGGCGGAGCGCCCCTGGGCAGCTGTCCCCAGGGCCGGCGGCACCGGCGGGGCGAGCCGCTGACCCCGGGCGGGACGGACGGCAAGGAGCGCTAGATCGGACTCGGTGCTCGGTGCGTGCGGCGGGATCGGGCTCGGTGCGTGCGGCGGGGCCGGGCTCGGTGCTCGGTGCGTTTGGCGGGCTCGGTGCGTTTGGCGGGGCCGTGTTCGGTGCTCGGTGCATGCGGCAGGGCCGGGCTCGGTGCGTGCGGTGGGACCGGGCTTGGTGCTCGGTGCATGCGGCCGGGTCGTGCTCGGTGCTCGGTGCGTGCGGCGGGACCGGGCTCGGTGCTCGGTGCGGGGGCTGCTCGGGGGTCCCGGGGCTGTTCAGGGTCTCAGGGGCTGTTTGGGGTCCCCGGTGTTGCTCGGAGGTTCCAGGGCTGCTCGGGGTCCCGGGCGCTGCTCGGGGGTCCCGGGGGCTGCTCGGGGGTCCCGGGGCTGTTCAGGGTCCCGGGGGCTGTTTGGGGTCCCCAGTGTTGCTTGGAGGTTCCAGGGCTGCTCGGGGTCCCGGGGCTGTTTGGGGGTCCCGGGCGCTGCTCGGGGGTCCCGGGGCTGCTCGGGGGTCCCGGCCGCTGCTTGGGGTCCCGGGGCTGCTCGGGGCAGCCCCGGGCTGGGCTCAGCGAGCCGCGGTGTCCCCAAGGAGAGCGGCCGCCTGGCCTCGCAGATCCGGAGGCTGTACGGCGCGAACCGCCGCGCCGCTCGGCCCTTCTGGCTGTGCCTGACCGAGTTCGCGGCGGGGACGGCGATCTACGAGCAGTGCTTCCGCATGAACGACGGCTTCGCGGGGTACCTGGTGAGGGCCTGGAGCCGGGGGATCCCGCCCTGAGCTCTGCATCTCATCTAGAACTAGTCAGTTGTTGCTGCTGTCCCTTTCTGAAAACACCCCGAGATCTTTTGGTGAGGAGAGAATTAAATGGAGTGTTTAGGTGTGTTGATCAGTGCCTAGAACAGAAACATTGTCCAAGTGAAAAAGAAAAACCCCAGGTCACTGGGGATCTGTAGGATCCACCAGACCTTTGGCAGCTTGTATGTCCAAAGCAGCAGTGTCAGTCCTGGGATATCTCTGTGTCTGGGAGAGGGCTTTGTTCTGACACATGTACCTCAGGCTAATGGGCTGCTTCACTCTGTCTTGTGTTTTGAGATGGATACAACCCCAGAGAGTTACCTGGACCTGTTTCCTTTGGAGGCCATTGTTTATCTCACTCCTGACTCTGAGAATGGTAAGTATTTCACGTGCTTTAGGAAAGGGAGAACCAGGGCAAAAGGCTGCCTTTTAGAAATTTCTTTCTGAGGCCATTCCATGCCTCAGGCAAGTTGTTCCTTACATGGGCTGTCTCACACTGCATGAGACACACAGTGTGCTCAGACCTGGTGCTGGTTCTGTGCTGGTGGGACCCGTGTGCCCCAGGCCGGGGTGAGGGGCTCTGCCCAGGGCTGTCCTTGGCAGGGGGGTGTGCTGGGGAGCGCTGTCCTGCTGCGTGCAGCTGAGCCAGTGCCTGCCCTCTGTGCAGTGCTTGAAGACGTCGATCCCAGCAAGGTGTACGTGCTGGGAGGGCTGGTGGACGAGAGCATCCACAAGGTGCGTGGTGCCTGCCCGTGAGCAGCCACATCCCGCTGCGGTGCCTGCCTCCCCCGGCCCCTTCTCCCTCAGGCTCTGCCTGCACCCAGCAGCGAGCTGGCAGAGGCTGCAGCAGCGCCTGCCAGCCCCAGGGCAGGCTTGGCTGGCGGCTCTGTGCGAGGCAGCGTGTCCGTGTGTCTGTCCGTGTGTCCCTGCAGCAGCTGACCCTGCGGAGGGCGCGGGAGCAGCGCCTGCACACAGCCCGGCTGCCCATCCGGGAGTACATGGTGAGAGCCCCCAACGCCAGGAACTACCACTCCGAGACACTGGCCATCAACCAGGGTGAGGGCTGGAGGGCACGGGGGCTGGCTGTGCCCCCAGGGTCCCTGTGCACGGGGCCAGGGGGCTGCTGTGGGGACAGGCCACGGAGGGACAGCGCTTCTGAGACCCGTGCCACCTCAGCCAAGGCTGGCAGTGGCAGGGAGGGGTCTTGGTGTCCTGTACCCCCATGGGCTGGCACTCCTGGTCACAGCAGAGGATGTGCTCGTGCTCCTTCTCCTCTGCAAGGGGAATGCCTCTCTGTTGGGCACTGCAGAGGAGCTCGTGACCCAGGCCAGAGTTTTTACCCCTGACGTGAGGATTGTGTTGCCCCTCCATGGACACAAGGCAGAGGAAGTGGCTGGGGGCTCTGTGTGCCCAGGGCATGGGGTCTCCCTGCCTGGGAGTGATAGTGGGAGCACAGCAGGTGTGGCTCACTACCGGGGGACACCGGCAGGTGGCACGTGTCAGCCATGGCAGTGACAGGGGCACCTTGCTCTATTTGACACAGCCACTGCTTTGCCCAGAGCTCCCTAAAGTCCTCTCCAAAATACCTGTCTGCCCCAGGTGAGCTGCCTCAAGCAGGTGTTAGGTGGGGGACCTTCCCTGGGACAGCTGTCATCACCTCCCTCGTGTTTGGTGGGCGTGTGGAGCTGCTGGCACCACTGTCCCAGCCCGTGTGTGGCTCAGCCCCTCTCTGCTCTGACAGTCTTTGACGTCCTGTCCACCTACTACGAGACACAGAGCTGGCCAGCAGCCCTGAGGGCTGGAGTTTCTTCTGGAAAAGGCTACGTGCTGCCGGACACAGCGGATCAGGTGGAAACAGCCCAGAGCACCACTGCTGCCCAAGGAAACTCTTTATTTCGCGCTGAGGAGCCGCACAGGCAGGAAGCAGCAGCATGAGGCACAGGAGGCAGCTGTTTCCAGCAGAGTGAGGACCTCGTTGGAGCAACACCTTCTACCTCAGGAATGCGGTGCTGGACATCGCCCGTGGCCCCCAGCGGGAAAGGAAAGCCTGGCGGAGCCTGGGATCAAGTGAAAACTGACAGGAATTCAGTTTTGCTTCTTTGCAGCTGTTTGTTTGTGACTCCTGCACCTACGCTTGTTCTGAGGCGGGGAGGAGAGCTTTAGGGTGTGTTCTTCATTTTATTGAAACAGAGCAAGGTGAAGTTAGGATTGCAAAGCTTTTGGGCAAGGGAAGCGCCCTGCCAGGGGACAGGAGAGTGCTGCTCCTGCAGGAGATGGGCAGCAGCTCCCAAGGGCACTGTGTCCCAGCAGCTTAAACCCACCCAAGGCTTGGTGAGTTGTTGAAGCCTTTGGCTAGTTGTATGCATCTAATATAAAATAAAAGGTTTAGATCCCCATTGTGTCCCTACAGTTACTGATGAGTGGTACCTCGTCACTCCTGGCACACACAGGTCCCTGACCCCGTGTCCCTGCTGCAGGTACCTGGGCTTGGCTGTGCCCTGCACGGAGCAGTGCTGCTCGCCAAGCCACAGCAGGAGCGTGTTTGGTGCAGCTGAGCCCATACATTACCTCAGCCACTGCTGCCAAAAGAGCCCTGAAACCTCATGGCCAGTGGCAGCAGGACCTGAAGGTCATCTGAGGTAAGTTTGGTTATGTGTTTTCATTCCTCTCTCACAGCAAACCCTTGCACAGCCCTGGGGCTTGTGTCCGAGTGCGTGTGACAGTGGGGAGTGCAGGAGCACTGGGGGTTTGACCCAGCTGCTGAGCTTCAACCCAGGCCAGGGCTTAACCTGAGCTTAAGCCATGACAAGAGCTGTGTTGGCCAGTGCCTGCTGCTGTGCCCTGGGAGCTCTTGGCATGCTGCACGTGGAGATGATCCCCTTCAGTGTCCCAGAGCCAGGGGACAGTCCTGTCCCCACCGTGCCCGGGGAGAGGTGGTGCCATCACTCAAGCCCACCCGTGCCCCTCAGCTGCCGAGTGCAGCCCCCCACAGCTCCCTGGGGAGAGGCAGCCACCCCCAATATCCCCCGGTGGGCTCAGCAGGAGGGACTGGCTGTGCCCTGTCCCAGGCCGAATCACCTGTGGCTCGCACCTGGCCAGGTGAGCGGCACCTGCGGGGAGGGCTGCTCCCGGCCGGTCCCCGCACAGCTCTGGCAGCGTTCCGGGGCCGGGGCACGGCCGGGAGCGCTGCCGGGAGCCGCCGGGGCTGGTCCCGCTCCGCCCGGCGGGCAGGGCTGCCACCACCCCCTCCGGCCGAGCAAAAGCAGCTGGACGTGCCATCACTGTGTTCCCTCGGCCTCCGAGGTGCAGAAAGCCACCTGGGGTCCCTCACATTCGGCCAGGGTCGGGGTGGGTGTCCCCTCAGTCCAGAGCAGCGTGAGCGAGGCAGGCTGAGCGGCTCCCACTCGGAATTCCCCACGGGCGGCAAAGGCAGCTGAGGGAACACCGTGAGGCTGGGCACCTGCACAGCCTGTGGCAGCCAGGCCAGTGACACACACACTGGAGTGCTCCAAGAGCACCCGGGGCACGGCTGCTCTTGGGGAGCCACCCCAGTGGGTGTGGGCACGTCCTGCCGCGGCCACCCTGGGCTCAGCATCTCCTGGGGGACAGCCTGAGGCGCACAGAGGGCACACATCTGGGCTCTGTCCCCCTCGTGTGCCCCCAGCCTGCCCGTCACAGCCACGGGGACGCCCTGAACTGCTGCAGGAGACAGAAGATGGCAGCGGCCAGGGCCGTGTGCTGGCGGGCGAGCAGCTCGGTGCCCAGCTCAGGGCAGACCTGCCCGTGGAGCTGCTGGTGCAGGGCCTGCACCAGCTGCTGGTAGGTGCCCACCACATCCCCCAGCGCAGCTCCCAGCTCCTGCTGCCGCTGCCTGCACCGCCGGCAGTGTGTCACCTGGAAGCAGGTCACTGCCAGCTGCACCAGGCGGTCGAAGGTGGCTCTCAGAGCACGCTGCACCTCCGTGAGGGGCTGCTCCGTGCTCAGCAGCGCCTGGCAGCTGGACAGCAGGTCCTGGGAAGCCCAGCCCAGGGCACCCTTGCTCTCCACACCCTGCTCTGCACATTGGTCGTGCAGGTGGGTCGCCTGGCTCCCACAGAGCTTCCCCACAACCTCCTGCAGCTCCACAGTGTAGGCCAGGAAGCGGGAGAAATCCGCAGGGCTCACCCACGCCTGGTCCTTCAGCTGCCCCAGCACTCGGATGTGGGGGTCCTGCCCTGCCGTGTCCCCAGCAACAGAGACTGGGAAGCCGCTCCCAGGGGTGCTGGGAAGGCTGCAGCTGCTGGACGGAGGGGTGGTGAGGGGCCCTGGCAGCCGGGGGGGGCTGGCTTCGCGCTCGCCCTGGCTGGGGGGCTGCGGGAAGCAGCTGATGTAGGGCAGGCGGCAGCCGCAGCTCTCCAGCCCTCGGGGGGCTGGGGAGGGCCCGGCTGCGAGGGGGGGGCTCTGCTCACCCTGCTCGGGGTTAAAGCAGAGGGACGAGTGCTTTGCAGCCCCCTGGGCTCCTGCTCCTTGCCCCAAGGGAACTGGGACGGAGGAGATGGCAAGCCCTGCAGATGGAGGCAGGCAGGAGTCCTTCCCCAGCCCTGCCGCCTGCTCTCTGGGGAGAGAAGCCCGTGCAGGCTGGGGTTCATTTCTTGGGTCTCCTGGGTCTCCTTGGGTCTGCTGCTGAGCCACATTTCTTGGGTCTCCTGGCTGCCCTGCAGCCTGCCCTGAGCTGCTCACCAGCTCCTTGCCAGAGCCCGCTCCTGCAGGGGATGCTGGCACCATCCTGCCACCAGCCCTGCACCCGTGGCTTGTCAGACACGCCAAGGGCTGCAGTGGGCCGTGGCCCCTGTCCTGCAGGCTGTGTGACACAGGGCTGAGTGGCACAGGCTCTGTCCTCAGCCCGAGTGAGAGCCAGGAGAGGCGGGTGAGCACCCCCGAGGCGCTGCTGCAGTCTGCCAGGAGCTGGGCTGGCTCGGGGAGCCGCGCCTGCCCGCCGTGCACCTCCCGCAGGGTCTGCCCGCTCACCTGCCGGCTCCTGCCCGGGAGCACGGCCCGGGACACGGCCTGGGACAAGGACTGGGGCAAGGAGTGGGACACGGCGTGGGACAAGGACTGGGACATGGCCTGGGACACGGCTCCCTCGCAGCTGCTGCTGGCACGGCACTGAGCATCACCCTGGCACTGACCCTGGGCATGGCATTGAGCATCACCCTGGCACTGACCCTGGGCATGGCACTGACCCTGGGCATGGCACTGACCGTCACCCTGGCACTGACCATCACCATGGCACTGACCTTGGGCATGGCACTGACCATCACCCTGGCACTGACCGTCACCCTGGCACTGACCATCACCATGGCACTGACCCTGGGCATGGCACTGACCATCAGCACTGCCCTGACTGTTGGCACTGCCCTTGCCAATGACACAGCTCTGGCCCTCGGCTTTGCTCTCGTGCCAGGGAGCCAGGGAAGGCTCCACGCTGGCAGGGAGCAGCCCCTGCTCCTGGGCAGGGGCCGTGCTGGGGCCGGGAGCCGGTGGCAGCAGCCCGAGCTGGTCAGAGGGGCACACAGCAGCAGAGGGCACGAGGCTGGCCTTGTGCTGGCTGCCCAGCAGCTCACCCCCCTCCTCCTGCGGCGCCGCGCTCTGCCAGCCTGCAGTGGGCACACGGCTCTCCTCGCCCAGACAGCCGGGATCTGCCTCCCCTGGGGAGCTCTCCTGGGCAGCTCCACTCCGACCTCGGGGAAGGGGCTCCAGGGCCAGCAAAGGGGGCTGCTGTGGCTGGGGGCTGCTGTCCTGCTCCCCACACTGGCCACCAGGAGGGTGAACGTCCAAAAGGGAGGCAACCAGCCATTCCACCACCGACTTTGTCTCCGTGGTGTCAGCTTCCAGCAGGTCAGAGCAGGGGTCTGTGCCAGCAGTGTCCCTCTGGGCCCGGGGGGCTGCAGCAATCCCCCTCTCCATGTCCTTCCCTGTGTCCTCTGTCGGGGGCTGAGTGGGTGGCCAGGAGCAGCAGCGCTGTGGAGAGCCTGGGGCAGCTGCAGGGAAACTGACCTGCGAGGTGTAGTCAGTTTTCAGGAAAGACCTTCTCTTCCTCAGGCTCTTGCTGTAGGTCAGCTCCTTCTCCTGCCCCTGCTTCTCCCTCCTTGGTGCGTTCTCCCCCAGGCTGTAGCACCTCAGCCTCTGTGGGATGCAGGAGGAGGTCTCTGTGCCCTCCCAGGATGCTGTATCGCAGCCTGTTGGCAAGAAAAACACGGAAATCAGGAGGAAATCCCGGGCAGCAGAATGTCCTCATGCCTACACAGTGGGCCAAAAAGCAGGACTTGGGATCACAGGCACAAAAGTGCAGCAGCAATGCCTGGCTCCCGAGGGCAAAGGGAAATGGTCTCTCGTGATCAAGAACCTGCTTGGAGTGGGATGTCCAGAAAAATCAGAGCCTGGCTGTGTGGCTACAAGGGCTGAAGCCCAGGGCTGGTGATGAGGGAGCAGCTTCACCTGGAGGCAGGGGTGGCTGTAATTCCCCAGGTAAATCTGGGGCCAGCAGCAGCTGTGGGTGTATCACTGCACAGAAACATGCCCAGGGGCTCCCAGCTCTGTATTTCATATTTCGGTGGTAACAATTTCCACAGCAAGTTTCCTGCCTGGGCACAGTACAGTGACTGTGCACTGCTGTAAAAGCCAAAACTGTTCTAATGGCATGAATTAAATTCTTAAGAGGTTCTGTTAATACTGAAAGAGCTGATTACTTCAGGAAGGAGAATACTCCCATTTCTGAGGAAATACAGCGGTCAGGAGCTGCCCAGCCCTGGGAATCCTTGGCCCAGCTCTGAAACCAGCCTCTAACCTTTGAGCTTGGGGGTTCATGTAACAATGTTTTACAGGTTTGGGCGATTCCAGAATGCTGCTCCTCTGCAAACTGACTTTTCCCAACACCCGGTATTTGCACGTGGCAACAAATCCCCCTGTAATGTCACTGTAAGGGTGCTGAGGAGTGGCCTGCAGAGGACAGGGGGCTTCAGAGGTCCTTCCAAAGTCTTGGAAAAGCCCCCAGGAGGACTGATTGCCACCCTGAACTTTTTTAAGATTTTCTAAGCCTTCTGATGTTTGCATTCTTGTAGCAAACTCTCTCACACACTTTCCTGTAAATAACTTATTGTTTCGCATAATTTTATGGAGGAGGAGAAATTTGATGGGCTGTTGGTTTGCCCGGTGTCATTGGAGAGGTGGCACTGTCACCCTCCAACCCACTGTCACCTTTGGAAATCTAGAAACGTTGGAGTCAGAGAACAAAGTTCCCTTGTTCCCCCTGAGAGCAGCGACCCCGGCCCCACCGGGCAGCCGGGACCCCCGGCACGGCCGTGCCTTTACCTGCCGGCCCCGGCGGGCTGAGCCTGTCGGCGGCATCGTAGAACTCCTCCTCGGAGCTGGAGTCCCCGAAGCCCGGCGGCGGCCGCAGCACCGGCTCGCCGTCCCCGGGGCCGCTGCCCGCGGGGGATGCGCTGCAGCACCGGCTGTAGTCCCCCTCGGAGCCCTCCCGAGCGGCCGAGCGCTCGCCCTGCCCCGCGGGGCCGGCCCCGGGCCCCGGCGGCACCTGCACGAAGCACAGGTAGTCGCCGGTGCCGGTGCCGGTGCCGGCGGGGCCGGCGCACACCGGCACGAAGCTGCGCTCGGAGCTGCGCATCTCCCGCACGGTGGGCGTGCAGAGGCGCAGCAGCTCTGGCCTGGAGGAAGAGCACGCTCCCAGCGCCTCCTCCTCCAGCGCATCCATGGAGTCGCTGGAGCCGCTCGTCTTGAAGCCCCGGCTCTCGGTGTTGGCCGAGTCGGACGCCTCGGAGGCGCTGTCGGCGGCGTTGTCACCGCCCGTGTCCCGCGGGTCGCCGCCGCTGGCCGCGGGGCTGCGGGGCTCCGGCCGCCCCTCCGCGCGGGGACCCGGCTCCCAGGAGTCCTCCGAGTCGCTGCAGGCTCGGGATTCGTACCCTGCGGGTTAAAGGAACCCGTCGGCCCAGGCTGTGGGTGGGGGGCTCAGCCAGACCCCGGGGGCTCAGCCCTCGCCAGCCCCCCGAGCTGCAGGGAGGGGGGCCCAGGGAGCAGGGGGTGCTCCAGCTCAGAGCAGCCCCCCGAGCTGCAGGGAGGGGGGCCCAGGGAGCAGGGGGTGCTCCAGCTCAGAGCAGCCCCCCGAGCTGCAGGGAGGGGGGCCCAGGGAGCAGGGGGTGCTCCAGCTCAGAGCAGCCCCCCGAGCTGCAGGGAGGGGGGCCCAGGGAGCAGGGGGTGCTCCAGCTCAGAGCAGCCCCCCGAGCTGCAGGGAGGGGGGCCCAGGGAGCAGGGGGTGCTCCAGCTCAGAGCAGCCCCCCGAGCTGCAGGGAGGGGGGCCCAGGGAGCAGGGGGTGCTCCAGCTCAGAGCAGCCCCCCGAGCTGCAGGGAGGGGGGCCCAGGGAGCAGGGGGTGCTCCAGCCCGGAGCAGCCCCCCAGCCAGCAGGGCAGGGTGCAGATGGAGCAGGGGGAGCTCCAGCCCAGAGCAGCCCCCCAGCCAGTGGGGCAGGCTACCCAGGGAGCAGGGGGTGCTCCAGCTCAGAGCAGCCCCCCGAGCTGCAGGGCAGCTGCCAGCCCAGCTGACCCCCGCCCCAAGCCTCGGTCCCCACAAGCCCGCAGCTGTCAGAGCAGCAGGGAGGGCACCGTGAATGCTGGAAAAGCCCTGTCAGATCACCGAGCCCAGCCTCGATCTAACGCAGGTGCCACCGCACAGCCCCGGGCTGCTGCTCCCAGGTCATCCACCCGCTTCCTCCCCACCCTGTGTCAAAAAAAGGCTGTTTTTATACACCTTCCTCCGCTGAGACACGGTGCAGCTGCTGTTTTTTCTCTCCCCAGGTGAACACGGAGGCGTTTGCATCCACGAGGAGTCTGTAGTAGCCAGCGATGAGACAGACCAGGTCCTTGGCACTGTTTGACTCCAGCAGCAGAGTAAGCACCTTTTTTTGGTTTATTTTTCGGAGGTGTGGAGGAGAATAGAGTAAAGAAGATTAGAATAAACAAATATTGCTTGTACCACAGTGGGCAGGAACAGGCTGCACAAGGACAAGGCACCCCCTCTGTCTCTTACAAGGAGGCACAAAGAGGAGTAATTTATTTTTCTCACCTTTTGTGCCTTTGCTGCATCTCACTGATGGAGGAAAAACCACTTCCCCTCAGCAGGAAGAATCCCTTCTCTCTAGCCATATTTTTGGTCCTTCCTTTGAGCTTTCCCCCCCGGTCTGTTCTAAGCCCTTTATCCCCGTGACTCCCCCAGCCTCAGGGGAGAGCTGACGGCGCGGGGGGCTCCCCGTGCCCACTCAGCTGCTCACCTTCAGGTCCTGCAGGTAGATCTTGACGGTGCTCACGCGCTCCGAGTCCTCGCTGAGCTCCACCCTGCTGATGCTGGGGAACTCGGCCAGGCTGCTGACGATGTTCAGCTTGCTGTTGATGATCTGGCTCACGCCGTGCTTGGCGCCCACCAGCAGCGCCACGTACGACTCCCTGTCCTGCAGCTGTGGGGCACGGGTTAACCCGGGGGCAGGGACCCCCAGCCGGGCTGGGCAGGGCCCCCTGGGCCCCCTGGCCTCCTGGGCATCCCTGCTCTGACTCTCCTTGCTGCTGCTGCTGCTGCAGGAGCCCGCTGCACCAGCTGCCCCCATGCAGGGACCAGCAGCCTGCCTTGGGCGGCCCCAGGCATGCAGCAGCCACACGGCAGCCCCAGGGATGGGCTGGCACTGCCAGCCGTGTCACCTGCCAGCCCAGGTGTCCCCAGTGAGACCTGCTGCAGGGTAAAAACTTCACAAAGGCATTTCTGGGCCTGGAAGAAGTGTCAGTGCTTTTTGTTAGGGTGAGACACTTAGTGAAAAATGAATTAACGCTCATGTGATCTGGCAGAAATTGTTCAGTTTGCACGTAGGTGTAGAGTTCAGCACTGCTTTGACCCATGGGGGTCTTGCTGTGGTACAGGCCCACCAGCACGGCTCAGCCCCCAGTGTGACACAGCTTGTGTTCTGCAGCTCAGCACAGACCCAGCTGGGGACAGGCAGAACAATCAACAGCCCAAGAAACCTCTCGTGAGTTCTTTTTCACTGTGAGGTTTCAGGGTTCCCAGTATTTTCTCAACAGCCTGAAGCCTGCCCACATTTCCCAAGTACTTTAGAACACACAAAGGACAGACAGGGTCTATCTGAAGAGCAAGAGTGGCAGCTTCCAGTCAGGAAAACACGCACAGCTGCTCTGCAGGCTGGTCTGTGCTGCGGACGCTTGGGAGGAATGAGGCTGAGCTCCTCCAGCACAGCCCCCGAGCAGGACCCACGGTGGCAAGGACAGGGAGGGGCAGTGCCCACAGCAGCCCCTACCATCATGGTGGCATTGAAGATCATCCCGCTGTACATCTTCAGCTCCCCCAGGATCTGCAGGTAGCTCAGGCGCACCTGGGCCGCGCCGGGCGCGTGCTGCGTGGGCAGGGGAGGAAACACAGTCAGGAGCAGCACTGCAGCAGGACACAGCCCCTGCTCAGGACTGGGCTGTGACCAGCACGTCCAGCTCAGTCTGCCGGGCAGCAGAGGAGCCCAGGGACCACCCCACACGGCCCTCTGAGCCTGGCACACAGCAGGGAGAGTGGGCACAGCGAGGGGGGCAGAGAACAGCCCCGGGTGACACGCAGGAGGAGATCTGGGGGGGACACCATGACCTGGGGGGGACACTGACCTGGGGCTCACACCTTACCTTCTGCCGAGGGTCCAGCAGCACCTGGTTCCTCTTCAGGTGGTAGCTGATGGCTTTCTTGATGTCCTTCCCTCTCATGTTTCGAAGCAAGGTGGGCGAGATGAAGTTTTCGATCCCCCAGTCCCTCCTGGCAGAAAGAGGGAAGGGAGCACAGGGGGTGCCAGCCACGCTGACCCCCAGCAGCACAGGGCAGGGGCACCAGGCAGCCCTGGGGGGCTGTGACACCCCCAGTGGCCTCACTGGCTCCAACTCCCTGCTACCTGCACCTGCCAGCAGGTCAGGAGTGGCGCCGCACAACGTGGACTTTGGGGCAGAATGGCCATTTTCTCGTGGTTTCCCAGGAGGGAGTTCACAGCCTGCGTGAGCAGCACAGTGCCCATCTCCCCCCACCATCCCCAGGATGGAGCCTCTGTCCTGGCATGGCCCTTGCTTTGGTGGCAGGATTATGACATTTCAGCAGGTTCAGCCTCCTGCACCCAGAGCGTGGCCCAGGTGTGCTGCTGGAGAGTTCACCCAGCCCAGGCATGAAACACCTGTGAGGTGAGAGCAGTGCAGCTGCCCCTCGCCCCCACTCCCTGCACACAGCTGGGCACATCTGGCTGCACAGTGCCCAGTAATTAACCTGGCCACCACACCAGTGCTGGTAATTAACGAGTAATTAACTGCTGCCTAGAGCAGGGCCCCTCCAGGGCAGGTGCAGCCCAAGAGCAGCAGGGCACACCTGCCCTTCCAAAAGCACTTTTTGGTCATTTCCCCGCAGATCCCAGGATCCACCACTGCCCAAAGGAGGTATTCCTGGCATGCTTCTGGCTGTGCAAGGCTGATGATTGCACCCTCTCTCTCCGTTCCCTGCAGTCAATACTGGCAGGAGCAGCTCGGGTAACCATCCCTGTGTGACAGATCTGCAGTTTCAAGCCCCTGGCCCTGTGACAAAGACCCTCCCTGTGCCTCGGGACACACCCAGGAGTTCAGTGCCTGCACTACCCAGGCAGGTCAGGGGGTGTGTAGGAATTACATATCCTCTGAACAGAGGGAAACATAGTTCTCCCAGAAAAGTCCTGGGAAGCTGTGTAGAAGCTGTGGGAAACTTATAAGAAATAATTCAAGAAATTATCATCTCTTTCTGTAACCACTGTTTATAAATATGGTTCTCCAGAGTGCACTATTCATAGCTCACCCATAGTGTAAAAAAAAAATATTCCTGAAAGCCAACCAAGACTTAAATCCCCCATTATTTCTATAAACACTGTAGATTTCAAATAATAAAATGTGTTTTCATACCTTCTGACGCTAAAGTCTCTAGATCACCTTTAAAGTCTCTATATCACCTTTAACTGTCCCCAGCACCCCTTCAGTGGCAGGGGTTGAGGACAGGGGGGCCCGAGGCCACCCTGCAGCACAGCCAAGGGACTGCAGTCCCCTCTGGACTCTGTGCAGAGCTAAGCAGGGGGCAAACAGCAACCTGATGCCACTTTTGGGGTCTCCAGCTTTCGCAGGGCGCAGTGACAGCGGGGCACAGGAATCGGAGCACTCACTCGATGTATTTCAAGGACACCTTCTGAGGCTGGGCACAGGCAGAGATCCTCTCCTGGATGTGCAGCGCGGCCAGGCGCAGCGCCACGCTGCACTTCATCTCCACCGCAAACCTCTCCTGGAGCACGTCGCTGCAGCTCTGGGGCAGACACAGCACGGTCAGGCCACAGGCAGGCAGGACAAACTGCCACGCCACGCCACGCAGCCAGGCCAGGGCATCCCCAGCCAGGCATACAAGCTGATTTAAGAGTTTAAGGCACATCGAATTGAAATGCCCTGGTTTTAAGGGCTCTCCGTTTCCATAGAGCTGAGCCAGCCTGAGGCACGCTCTGGTTTAAAGCAGAAATGAGGACAGGGTGAGAAGGGATTGCTAGGCGTGGAAGGCCCAGTGTCACCTGCAGGTACAGGTACTCAAAGGCCACCGGGTCTTCCTGCAGGAGGTCCAAGGGGTCCCTGGGGACAAAGCACACCCTGAAGAGGCAGCGGTAGTCGTGAGAGTCTCTTTTCTGGACCACCTGCAAGAGAGAGGGGGTGTCACAGCACAAGCCCCCCTCCAGGGGTGCACCACGAGCCTTTGCCCTGCAAACCCACAGGAATGGTGTCACACCACGGGCAGGGGCACGGTGCAGATCGTCCTGAACAAACACAAGGAGACTTTGCTACTGCTTGCAACTTTATCTCTGATTCTCCATCTGGTTTTTTCTTCTCCCTGCAGTAGCCCAGAAGCCCTCTGACAGCAAGACCTCATTTAAATGCCCAGTGATCCCAAAGACTTGCAGTGTCACCAGGACAGAGGCTTTGGGGCTGTGTGATAGCAGCAGGGGAAGGGGCAGGCTGCTCTGCTTTGGAGCGCAGCCACAAGACACAGCAGCCCTAAACAGACCCCTGAATCATCCCTGTAATGTCAGTACAATGTCAAGGCTCTGAGCTATCCATCAGCATATTTTATTCTGGGCAGGTCCTGCCCAGCGGAAATCCTGACCCATGTGCTCAGTGGTGTGACAGCAGCAGCCACTGAGGGACTGGAGCTGGATGATCCTTGTGTGTGCCTTCCCACCCAGGGCACTCTGTGTGACTGCAGGGACCCCTCTGCAGGGGGCTGCCAGCCACCAAAGGCAGCAGCACGGAGCTGGGGCAGCTGAGCAGGCACCTCTGACAAACCTGCACGGCTGCAGGGCACGAGGAACTGACTCAGAACTCAGCCCAAGTGGCCCCTGCCGGGGCAGAAGCTCTGATGCTCAGGGAGCTGTGAGCAGAGGTCAGGCACAGCTGCCTTAAAGCTGCCTCAGGCTCAAGCAGTCCTCAGCAGACGGGCTGCTGTGCCAGGGGGCACAAAGGCTGTCACCCACCACTGCTCTGCAGGCAGCACCAGCCCAGGGGTACTGCTGTGTGTGTGGGGGCACTCAGGGTGCTCCAAAGGTCCTTCCCCAGGGGCGTGGGGTGTGGACACCAGGGCCAGAAGTGGATGGCATGGCGGGGGCCGAGCTGAGCTCGCCCCTCTGGTGACCCCGGCAGCACTGGGCTCCCTGTGCCCTCACCAGCCTCTCCCGGGGGGCAGTGCCCCTCTGCAGGGCTGTGGGGCGCAGGGGGGCCCCGCTCACCTGCGCAATGAGCTCCTCCTCGTGCAGCAGGTGGATCTTGGCCAGGTTGTACTGCTCCTCCAGCGCCAGCGCGAAGTGCGCGATGCTGCGGAGGGACAGCTTCTCCTGCAGCGTCAGCACGATGTCCTGCAGGGCACAGGGCTCTCGCAGGGCACTGCTGCAGGGCTGCCAGGACGTGCCCCAGCCTGCAGGGCTGCGGGGCACGGACAGGCAGAGCACAGCCGTCCCAGCAGGCGGAGGAGAAGGCGGGCAAGCTGCAGACCCCGAGGTGGCACAGGTATCAAAGCCACCGCCTGCAGCTGCCTGTCCTGAGCTGCCTCCCACCCACTGCTTGGCTTTTCAGCTGGGTTGAGCACTTTCTGTCACCCCTGAGTGACAGAAACACCCCGAGTGTTTGCTGTGCTTGTTATTCTAGCTTTCTAGAACTCTGAAACATTTGGGAAGTGGCCAAGGCCAGGCTGGACAGGATTGAAGCAAGTGAGAGGTGTCCCTGCCCATGGTAGGAGATTGGAACAGGATGGTCTCTAAGCCCAAATCAGTCTGTGAATCTATGGTTTTTGACAAAACTAAAAAGAACTTGTGAAGAACACTTCTCTGCAATAAACAAGAATTTGAGACCGTAACTGTAAAAAATCCTGCCACATCTGACTGAAGCTGGTGTTTCACTTTGTAATAGAGAATTCTGTCAATATTCTAACTGCGACAGAAGTAACAAGGTTTACTTTTGGCAAAAAGAAAATACCACCTCAGGCTTGACTGAGCACAAATTGAAACAGAAGCCCTTGGGCTCACTCAAGCCTTTCGAGGCAAGCATAAATGTTTGTCTCACCTCAGTTTTAAGCCAGGATGTCTCAAAACACAGAGGAATTTCTGGAAACACCTAACTTGGGAAGCATTTTACTCATTTAGGTGTTTCTGGAGGGCACTGGTGAGGGCTGCTCTCAGAAACTGGGAAAACTTGTTGCATGTCAGAGCTGAGCAACTCAAGATCAAGTCAAAGAGCTAATCCATCCTTTAGAAATTAAACCCTTGGGGACAGGCACTCAAATATCTTTTTACAAGTCTCCTTTCCTTTCCATCTCCTTGCTTTATTCCACTATTTTATTTTTCTAGACCCTGCAAGTCAAAAGACTTGCAGACACTTACTTGCCTGAGAGACCACAACGGTTTTGTGAAGCTTGAACAAGCTAGACACACTCCTCCTTTTCTGAGAAAAGTTTTCACTGCATGATGAGTGAAATCTCTTTGTTTCCCTTTAATATACTTTCAGCCTGATAGCCCCAGAATGCCTGTCCATCGTGCAGGACACCACCTGTCCTTTAAGTAATTTATGCCCTCCAGCCACTGGCCATGGCCAAATCTTACCAAGTGCAACAGAAGCACTGAGCAGCCACAAGGATCAGGCCAGGAAACCTGGAGGTGTGCAAGGCTGTGCCCAAGCACAGCAGTTTGGGAAGGGCTGGATCCACGGCTCAGCAGAGCAGCACTGTGTTCTCAGGGGAGTGATCAGAGGGAGGATCACCCTTTGCTCAGGAGGATCATTCCCTCCTGTGCTGCCCTTTCACCTGGGGGGTGAATCAGTGCTCGTGTCTCCAGAGGGGAGCATCCTCACCAGGGCAGAACGAGGCTGGAGTCAGCACACCCAGCGTGCCCAGCACAGCCAGCTGGGGGGCTGCAGGGGCCCTGCCTGCCCCTCTGCTGGGCTGGCCTGCTGGCAACAGGGCCTCCTTACCTTCACAGTGGTGCTGCTCTCAAAGCGGAACGCCTTGGTCTGTCCGTTCTCCAGGTACACCTTGAGGACGTTGGGCATGAACAGGAGGGAGCTGCCCTGCAGAACAAAGGCAGCAGCTGGAGCCTCGGGCACCCAGCCTGGCCACCAGCTGCTCTGTCCCGCCATCCAGGAAAACCCTTCTCTGCCTTGCCAACCCTCTTGCACGGCACCAGGCTGGCTCCTGACCGTGCTTCTGGCACGGGGAGACAGAAGGAGGGCACAGCAAGGCTTTACCGGAACGCCCGGGGCAGCACCGCCTGCGGCAGCGCTGGGAGCACGGAGCCACACTCCCCGCTCACCCCCAGCACCCAGCATTGCCTCGGGAAAAGGCATCCTGCCATCCCCCAGCAGCAGGGACCCCCGCCCTGACAGCGGCCCCAGCGCTGCCCTCGCCACGCGGGGCAGCCGTGATATTTTGTGAAAAATGCTTTGCTAGGATTTGTCCCCTCCTGAGGGACTAAGGAGCCCCAGGAAAAAAATGTAAACAATTTATTATCTGCTGCTGTGGAATGCAACAGGGGCAGCTGGGGTTGGCGCATGTTGGTTGTTTCTAATCAATAATCAATCAAAGATGCAGCTGGCTCAGACTCTCTGGGAGTCAGGAGCCTCTGGTATCATTCCTCTCCTGTCCTTCCTAGCCTTCTGATGGATCCTTTTCTCTCTATTCTTTTAGCATATTTTATTGTATAATTTTAACATAATATATATCATAATATAACTAAACCAGCCTTCTGAAACATGGAGCCAAGGTTCTCGTCTCCACACACGGGGTATCCACCACAACGGGGAGCCTGCCAAACACACCACACTGCTTCCACCCAGCCCTGCCCCGAGATCTGACACGTCCCAGGCAGGGGGTGATGGACCAGAGTGTCCTGAGATGGGTCCCAAACAGGGGGCACAAGACGAGGACAGCCTCAGCGAGAGCAGCTCTGCTGGGTGCTTGGGGAAGGCTCTGAGGATTGGCCTGTCCTCCCAGGCAGCCCGATCCCCTCTCAGCCCTGCAGCAGGGGATGCCTGCCCCTCTCCCCCAGCTTCACCCCCGTTCCCCTGGCTGCTCGGGGCTCAGCAGTTCAGCCCTGCACCTCGGAGCTCCTGCCCAGCACCCTCTGTCCTGTTCTTGGGCCAGCACGCTGCTCCCACCGCCTAGGGGGTTTGTCTCCTTGTCAGAGAGCCTCAGGGTTAGCAGCGGGGTTTCTGGGATGATCTCTCCTGTGCCTCACGTCACAAACCTCACAGAGAGCCCACAGCCCCTGGAAGTGCTGCCAGGGCAAACATGAAACCCTTCTGAATCCCACCCTTGCTCCTCTCACGGCCACTTTTGGGGTCCAAGCTGCCTGCAGCCATTACTGAGAAAAAACAAGAGAACACTGCTGCTCTTTTCTCCAGCCCAGCTTCTGGGCCCTTTAGCCAGCCCAAAGAGCTCGTGTCTCTGGCAGGGGCTGCAGTGTGCACCAGCCCCAGGACAGTGATGCAGTTTCACAGCAGCTGCACGTCTGCCCTTCTCTCCCACGGCACAGACACGCGGGAGGGGACCTGCACCTGCAGCGCTGAACACCTGCCCAGAGCATCCCCACTCTCCTGCCCACATCCAGGGCACCCAGAGGGGTTCCAACCTTTCCGTGAGGGCTGCCAGAAGCTGAGATGAGCTGACCCTCCAGCTGCAGCAGCCGTGCCCTGCCGCGCTGCCGGGGCAGGGCTGGCTCCCCAGCTCCCCCTGCTAACAACGCGGCCGCGTCCCCGGGGGCTGTCCCCGGCGCGGAGCTCAGGATGTGGAATACATCAGCAGCCTGCAGAAGGCAGGGCAGCAGCGAGGCTCATGAACAATTCATGCTGCAGCCTGCAGGGTCGGGTTTCAGCTGCAGAACGCAGCCGCTGGGATCCTTCCCCCCGCCACAAGGATCACTTAGCCGTGCTCCATTAGGATGACAAGAGCAGTATATTTACTGAAACTGGAGGCTGTACACTTTTCAGGGCCATAATACCCATTTTGGCTGCCTTAGTACGTCAGCCCACGGAAAGGAGAGCAGCCCTAAAGCACTCAGGGCTGCCGAGGTGCATAGTGCTTTTCCAGAAAGAAATCATAAATATGCAACAAATTTATTCACTCTTCCTTTGTGCTAATACCTCACTGTTCAAAACAGGTTACATATCCAGATGGTGAAAAGGGAATCTAACACCAGTGGGACCCCAGCACCTGAATTAATTTCCCCTGCCTTTGTGCTGTCATTAAATTAATGGCAATCTAAACACTGACCGTGTCCCTCCTGTGCACTTGCAGAGGCTGCATCAGCTCCGAGGCTTTAGGGAGGATGGAGTGCAGCTTTCCCTCCACAGGTGCCTTCTTTAGAGTCTCACCCGAGCTGCTCTGCCAGGCTCCTTGGGAGCCATGGCTGGGACCCACGGGCTGTGACACGAGCCCAGCCTTGCAGCTGCGGGGAGCCGCAGGCTCACATCCCCAGCCGCTCTGCCGCTGATTTCGGCTCTGCCCGTGTCCCACCACCCGTCCTGCCCCAAGCCCTCGGGCCACCTGGGGCCACCTCCCGGGCACATCCTCCCGCTGCCATGCCCCGCCCGGTGACCCGGTCCCCTGCCCGCCAGGACCCCCACAGCCGTGTCACCGACCCCTGAGGGGTGGGACAGCCCTGCGAGGGCAGCCCTGGCACACCTGGCAACGGCGTGGCAGGAAGGGAGGGACCCCAGGGTCCAGAGGGGCACTGGGAACGTCTGGAAGCACAGCCGACCTGCCCTGCAGGCAGGAGGAGGAGGAGGAGGAGCGGGGTCCCGCCTGCAGTCACACGGGCAGGTGACACCCTCGGCTGCACCTCTGCCCGTGTGCAGGGCACAGGGAGCACACTCTGCCCTGGGAGCACCCCGAGCTGCACCAGGGAGCAGCAGGCAGGCCGGGGGGCAGCAGGAAAAGGGCCCGGTTTGTCCCTGCTGTGAAGCAGAAAGGCTGGTCAGACCTGGCCAGCCGAGCAGCACTAATGAGGCAGGGGGCAGAAAGGGGCACTTTGACCACAGGGTTCTTTCATCCTGAAAGACACCAGGAAAGGTCGACGGAGCTAATGACTCCCAGCTGACCCCGGTGAGCTTAGAAAGTTGCACAGAAGGAGCAGGAGCCGTTCAGGAGCTGTTCGCACCTTGGGCAGGACACAAGAGCTGTCACCTGTGCCGCAGGGAGAGCAGCAGGGGCAGAGCCGTGGGCACCCAGCAGCAGCAGCAGCAGCCCGGTGGTGGGCTGGCAGCCCCCAGGGGCTGTGAGCCAGCCCACCCCACAGTGGCCAGCACAGCTGTGCACGCCCTGGGGACACCCTCGGCAGGGACGGAGAGCAAGCCTGCCGCTGGAGCGCACGGTGACACCTAAGAGCAGGGCAGGGTGCCCGGGGACACAGCCGCCGGGCAGGGACTGTGCCGGGGGACCAGCCCGGCTCCTGCAGAGCACACCACCCTGCTCGCACAGCTGCCTCCACCTCTGTGGGCCGGGATTCGTCCTGCCCACGCTGCAGGGAGGGCTCGCCACGGAGGGATTAGCACTTCCAGGGAGGACAGCTGCCTCGGGCAGGGCGCAGGGAATGGCCTGGCTCCGCCGGGAGCGGGACGGAGCCAGCCCGAGAAAGCACATCAAAGACAAACCCCACGGCCCGGGCAGAGGGGCACAGCGAGCCCGGCCCCCGGGAGAGCCCCGCGGCCCTGACCTGCGAGTGTCCGTTCAGCAGCACCTCCTCCGCAAAGCGCACTTTGACGGGGTTGGTTTTCAGCCTCGCCCTCTTCTCCTCGGTGAGGAACGACGACTTGGGGCCACCCTGAAACGACAGCGGAGTTCGGGCGCGGGGCAGAGCCGTGCCGGGGCTAGCCCTGCGCCCCTCGCCCCCGCCCGGAGGGTGTCCCGGGGATGCCCACCGCCCCCAGCCCTACCCAGCCCCTTCAGACCGGCCCTGCAGCCAGCCCTGGCTGCCCAGCGAGCACACACGTGTGTGCCGGTGTCACTGTGCCCGTGTCGCCGCCCAGGTGAGCCAGCTGCCGTGCCCAGCTGTCCCCCACGCCCGGCTGGGGGGCTGCCAGCAGCTGGCTGGCACTGGGGTGCGCCTCATCCAGCTCACAGCGAGCCTGGCAGCGAGGGACAGACCCTGCCCGCTCTGCTGGGCTGCCCAGAGGGCTGCAAACTGCACAGAGAGCTGCCCGTGGCCACCAGGCGCTGCTGTCACACGACCTTGCTGTCACCAGGCTCACGCTTTCAGGAACTATGCACAAACCCCCTGTAAAGCATGGTGGTCCCCAAGAGCAGCAGCAGAGCCCCTCGGTGTCCCCGTGGCAGCTGCCAAGCCTTCACCTGCCAGAAGTGCCGGCGCCCCCTGCCCCAGCCCTCACTGCCCTGGGGACACGAGGATGCAACACGGGATTTGGGAGCAGCCCCGAGCACTCCGCACGTCCCAGAGCGCAGCAGGGTCTCAGCACGGAGCAGAGCCTGTCCCCGCAGCCCTGTCCCGCACCGGGGGCTGCCAGGAGCCGCTGCCAGCCCTCCCCAGGGCCGGCGGCGACAGCCGGGGATGCTCAGGGCCCGCCCGTGGCTCTGACCAGCCCCTCCAGCCCCAAGCCAGCCCAGTCCCGTGCCCTGGGAGCCGAGGAAGGGCCACTTACGGCGGCGCAGCGCAGGACGGTCAGGAGCAGCTCGTCACCGGCGTCCCTGCAAAGGGACCCGCGGTCAGCGCGGGCGGCAGCGCAGCCCGGGACACGGGGACACGGGGACGCGTGACACACCTGATCAGGCCGGCCGCCCGCTCCACGGACAGCCCGTCCACCGCGCTGGAGTTGATGGAGAGGAGCTGGTCCCCCGGCTGCAGCTTGCCGTCGGCCGTGCTCCCTGCGCGGCGGAGCGGAGTGAGGCACGGGCAGCCCTGCCGGCCGGGCACAGCGCCGCTCGCACGGCAAAACCCTGCGGGACCATCCCCTCCGAGAGCATCCCCTGCGGGACCATCCCCTGCGGGACCATCCCCTGCGAGAGCATCCCCGCCTCCCCTAACCCCGCACTGCCGGCTCCGGCACTCCCTGGTGTCCCCAAGTGCCACACCTGCACCTGGGGTGTCCCGAGACAGCTCCCCTTCCCTCCCAGCACCTGCTGCTTCAACAACCACACCTGGCTGGCCAAAGAAAAGGGGTTGAAGGACACTGGGTGCTGACACCGCCCTGTGTGTCCCTGCCTGTGTCCTTGTCCCCCACCCGAGCCTCCCTCTGCCCATGGAGAGCCCCGCAGGATCTGCCTGTCCCCTTGTCACAGCCCACCACGCTGGGAACCACGTAGCTGCGGGCTGCCATCAGCAAAGGACAGGCTCAGAAGGGCAGGTTTCTTTGTGCCTCAGCTTCAGACAGGTTTTTTTTGTGCTTCAGCTCTAGTAAAATGTTGATTTTTTTTTTTCTGATTTGGGGAAAAGAGAAGCACAGCAGAAAAAACACCCACTTCTTACTCCCCACAGCTCCCAGGTGATTTCAGCGTGTCTCACATGGCAAAGGGCATAAAGAGGAGTGGGAGTGACAGAGGTACATGCCCTGGCCCAGAGTCCAGCCAGCCCCCAAGCAGAGGGCTGCCACACTCACACCAACAGGTGAAAACTACGTGGTTTTGTGCACCCATTAAAAAAAAAAAAAACAAAAACAACAACAACAAAAAAAAACCCCAAAAACCTAATAAGAAAGCACCAACAGGTGAAAACCACGTGGTTTTGTGCAGCCATAAAAAAAACCCAAAAAACCCCAAAAAAACCCCAAAACCTAATAAGAAACAGAATAAGAGTTTTTGAGTCACACCCATCCCTTCTATAGCTAGAGGAGCTGATCTGCTCGATTTCAGCACTGCCTGCACACAGCAGCAAACCCCTGTGCCCTGTAAGCCAGGGTCTGTCCAGATCATTGTGACCACAGCAGAGTAAGATGAAATTCTCTAAGACAAGATTAAATTCTTCCTCTGCATTTCAGATACAACCAGGAGGGACTTCACTCTGAGCAGCTCTCTGCATCAGGCAGGCCAGCAGGTGAGCACAGGTGAGGGACCCGTGGGGACACTGACACTCCCACTGTGGGGCAGGGACATGTCCTGGCACTGCGTGTGCCACTGTCACCCAGGCTGTGCCCAGGGCTCACACACCCATCAGACACCCCAGAAACCACCACCCCTGCCAGCAGCTGATCCCTGACACCCCGTGCTGGGCTCTGAAGGCCACACCTGCCGTGACAGAGGCGATGGTCAGGGGCAGCCCGGGGCAGATCTCGAAGCCGTAGTGCTGCAGCACCAGGTCCTTGTACACCGTGACTGTCACCTTGGCCCGGCTGGGGGGCTGGGCTGTGCTGTCCCCAGCACTGTCCATCACTGCCACGCTGCCCCTGGGGACCACAGCACATGGTTAAAGATGATGTGAGCACCGCTTCTCCAAAGGATCCACACCATTCCCTGCTGCCCCCAGGCCGGCTCTGCAGCCAGCAGCGGCTCCCTGGGCTCTGCAGGAGGCTGGGGACATCAGCCTGGCTGTGACCACAGCTCCCCAGGCACCCCAGCCCGGTGGTCTCACAGCAGGAGAGGCCCAGGTGTGCCCCAGCACAGGCCATGACCTCCACCCAGAGAGCAGCAGCACCTCCACCCAGCGAGGCAGCGCGGGGACGCACAGCTCTGGCCCTCTGTGGGATCCATCAGCCCAGGATGTCCACCCTGTGTCCACTCCACCCTAATGCTGACTCACAGACCTCAGGGAAGGAAAGCAGCCACGGACCAGGATCCCTGGTGATGCAACCTAGTCAAAAATGCGGGCCCACAAAGAGAAGCAGGAGCCCACCTTCAAGAAGAGCAAGTCTCACACGGAGCAACGCTGCATTTCCTCCTCACAAAAGCACAGCAGAGCAAGGCAGCAGCATCAGTCCCTGCGAGCCAAGGGGGTTGCTGACAAAGGCTGCTGCCATTCTTTTTCTGCGTGTGTGTTTCCCAGAACAGAACCAGCGAGCAGGGTGTGCAGGCTGTGCCAGCCCCGCTCCCTCCTCAGAAACCCCACTCACCTGGGTGCGCTGTCCCGAGAGCGATGAAGCCATTTTGCTACCATTTGCTCTATTCTACATGTTTTTCGTGTATGGATTAAGCTAGTCTCCAAATCTCCCATTTACCTGGAAGCGACAGAAACACACAGTGACAGTGACTGGGGGGTTCCTCTGGACAGCTCTCAGCGTTACCAACACTAACTCACAACCCACCACAGAATAAAACAATATTAATTGTACTGTCTAACACCAAGAGATCAGCTTGTGAAGAGCAGGGCTGTGACAGAGGGTGACACGTGCTGTGACACTCATGGCACTGCTGCCCACCCAGCCTCCCCTGCTCGGTGCTTTTGGTCACCCATGCCACGGCCACAGTGCGTTACCCTTCCATGGCAGGCAGTGGTGTCCCCACTCCTTTCCCAAGGATTTCATGGGCTTCTTTTGGAGGTGCAAGGGCTGGGTGAGCTTCCCACCCCCAAACTGAGGCTGCCAGAGCACGAGTGCTCAGTGAAAGCAGGCTCTTGGTTTGACACTAACTACAGACACCAGAGCATGCTGCACAGCCCTGCAGGGGCACCCTGCAGCCGTGCACCACTGCCAAACCTCTGAGCTCTGACCCTGGGCACAGCTGTGGGCTGGGAGAGAGCCTAACATGAAACAAATTGTGCCTCTATCTGCCAGAAGCCGTGAGGAGTACCAGCTCCTTGTGTTTTCAGCCCTAAACTGCTGTATCCACCTTTCACAGGGTGCCTTCTGACCAGCCCAGGGGTTCCGCACGTCCTGACCTCCTCCCTCGCGCCTTCTGCTGGGACTGGACGTGCTGTGCCTCAGGGATTTGCTCTGTCATGCTGGGACAGCGGGCTGCAGCTCCATGGCAGAACTGCTGCTGCAACAGAAATATCAGTAACTTAACCTGTGAACAGCAGGGATGGCTGGAAACTCAGAAATGAGGAACAAAAAAATGTGTGTCAACAAAAACCAGTCCTGTTCCACTCAGCACCTTCCCAGGCCCTGGAAGTCCCCCAGCTCAGACTTTCTAACCAAGAAGGGAGGGCAGGACTCGCATTTGGTGGTGAGCTCCTCACAGGGAGCCACTCCAGCCTGCTATGCTGCCTGCCTGTTCAGCCATGGGCAGAACACAGAGGAAATTCAGCCCTTCAGCAGTCCAGGCACTGGGCACTCTCTGGGCACTTTCTTCCTAACACAGCACAATTCAGCCTGCTCCTTCAGCCACACGGCTCCTGAGAGGCACCTCTGAACCACAAATGGGCACCTGTGCCCCACTGTGCCTCCAGAAATCACAGCTGAAAGGATGGGAAATGTGACCCCCAGCTCAGAGGGTGCCCAGGAAGTGACCAGGGGAGGAGCAGCAGCTCTGCAGGCTGCAGCACACACGCAGGATCTCCCCAGGGCAGCCTGAGCTGATGCAGCTCCTGCTGGCCCCTCTCAGTGTGTCACTGTCTCTGCCACTGGTGTGGCATCTGCTGCAGCCCTCCTGTGCCTTTGGCTTCCCCTCTCTGCTCAGCAGCACCAAGTGCTCTGGCCTTCCCACTGCCCCAAACACCCCAAGGCTCCTCTGAGCATGGGGAACGTGCTGCCTGCAGGGGCTCCTGCCCCAGGGCTCCGTGTCTGTTGTACCCTGAGCCTCCTCAGGTGCCTCCTCACCACCTGCCTCTGCAGCTCCAGCCCTCAGCCCTTCCCCTAAACTCTGCAGAAAGGACAGATCTCCTATCTGGCCTTCACAGGGGAGAATTCCCTGAGAAAGTCTCTGAACCTGTGGGACAAGGAGGAAAAGGCTGAAGAACAAACACAAACATTTAAAGCTGGTGGAAAGGGAAAGGGAAAGGGAAAGGGAAAGGGAAAGGGAAAGGGAAAGGGAAAGGGAAAGG